AGCCCAAACCAGCTTTCCTGCAGGCAGCTGGAGGGCCAGGGCTGGCTGCACTTTGCAGCTGATGGCCTGGAAGGGTTGTGAGGGAGGGGATGAGTCCCTCCCGTGGTGATGCTGGGTGTTATGTGCATTAAAATTGGTCTGTTTACTGCTGCCGCAGCACACCTGGGCTGGCTCTTCTGTGGGGCAGAGCAAGTCGGGGACTCCCCCTGTGCCAGGGCTGTGGGAAAGGATGTGGCCCATTCCCAGAGGAGTGCTGGCAGTTCTCAGGGAGGGAGAGGGCATGTGCCTGCTGCTCACTTTGTTCTTTGTTTGAGGGACCTCTCAGCCTGCTGGGTCCTGCTAACCCAGTTGAGCCTTGAGCAGCACAACTCTATCCCTCGCATGGGTGGGTTCCTCTCCCTCATTCCTCTGCTCTTCCAGAGACCCAGGGCTGTGCAGGGAAGTTGAAGGGATCCAGGAGAGGTACTGAGCCTTGTGGCACCAGCCTGGCGGTGAGGAGCCTGGCTGGGCTGTGTGACTCACCCAGCAGCCACGTGAAGTGGAGCAAGCTGGCGTGGAGAAGCCATGTGAGGCCAAGGGCTCTTCCTGGAACATTGCTGCATGCTTGCATCCCCCTAGAGTGATCTTCACTGGCACAGTGCAGCTGCAGCCCTGTGAGCATGCTGGGCCCTCTCCACAGGACCAGGATGGTTCCAGCAGCTCTCCCAGAGCAGTGGGAGGAAAAGGGGGATTCAACTCCTGGGGAGAGTGGGGCCAGAACTGGCCAAGCCGGTCCTGTGTAGCACCGGAAAGGCAAATCCTGCTGATGTGAGAGCTCTGGGATCACACCGGATTGGCATTAGCAGCAGAGCTTCAAGGAACTCCTGGCCAGCCCCTGCTCCGGGCAGGATCTCTCCCTCCCACCCACCCCAGCACCTGCCCAGCTCAGGCAGAGACAGGCAGCTGAAATAAGCTGGTGATTAAGGGGAGGCAGTGAGGATCACCTTTCCACCAGTGCACTGGGAACACCCCGTAGGATCTGAATCCTGCTGGGACTCCTGGTGTGTATTGACACCAGTCCCAGGAAACGGCATGGCAGCTGGAATAGAGATGTGATAGCTGGGACACTGTGGGCAGGGATTGCTGCCAGTTCCAAACCTTGTCCCTCCTTGCTCAAAGCAGAGCTCAGCAGCCCTGGCAGGGGACAGCTGTGCTCTCAGCAGCACATCCCAACAGCTGTGTGTGTCTTCCAGCTGCAGCTTAAGCCTCATGCCCTTTTTGCAGTTTAGATGACTGCATTTGCAGTCAGCCCACACAACTGAGCCCAAATGTTAATTTTCCCCTTGCCCCTATTGCTGCACACATTTCCCCTTGTCTCTCCACATGAAGCAGACACATCTCTGTCCCAGCAAGTCACAGCCTCAGACCAGCCCACACATCCCCTGTCCTTAAACCAGGGGGGAAAGCCAGACTTGACAAAGCTTCCCAAAGGAGGGAGCACAGCTCCCTGCTGCTCCCCTCCTGGCTTCCAGCAGGAGCATCCCCCAGCAGTGCAGCTGTGGATCAGGCAGGCTGCCAGCCAGGATCAAGAGGCAAGTGAAGTGCCAGGGCAGCACCACTGGGCTGAGCTGAGGTAAGGCTGGGGCTGACTGCAAGTCATGCTGATGTGGAATCCCTCCCAGCCTCTGGCAGCAGCACATGCTGGCTCTCCAGACCAACTCCTTGCCCAGCAGTGACAGCGGCTTTGCTACAAGAGGGGCATTTTCCCACATCTTTCTTGGGGTGACTACATGTAAAAAGGTGGCCTGAGGGTCAGGAGACCCTGCTGCTATAGATCCACAGGGAAGAGGCTGGGTTGGTGCCAGGGAAGCACACAGGGAAGCAGCACTCCTCCCTCCAGGCAGTTTTTCATCCTTTACAGCAGGCAGGGAGCACCTCCTGCCCACCTCCCCCAAACCCAAGTGAGGGGTGTCACGCCAGGGCCACACAACCCAGCACAAATCTCCACCTGAGAGCAGTTCCTGCTTTCCATCCACCACTGTCCCAGGAATCTGCCACTCTCCACAAGAGGCCTGAAGGAACTCGGTGTCCCACCATTCAAGAGCTCAATTACCCCAATCAGTATTTGGTCATGGCTTTCCTCATCTTTCTCAACCAAGTCTAAGTAATGTACTTAAGCTCAAGTACCCTGAAGACTTTTCCATAATTCTCCCATTCTCAGCTCACCCAGTGCTCCATGTTCTCCTGACTCCAAACACTCTAAAAACTGGTTTCATCTACAGACTTAAAGCCAAACATTGCAGAGGCAGCAACAGCAGCATTTGGAAACAGCCCTGAGGACAGTGAACCCTGTGAAGAACAGCAATAGGGAAACTCACATGCTGCAAGCATGTGGAGCAGAGATTGTGCCAGAAAAACCCACAAAGCCTCTGCTGCTGGATTTGCAGGAGGGTTCCAAGTCAACCTGCAGCATAAGCAGAGAGCTGATCCACTGGGAAATGGTGTGAGAGGTCACTTGTGTCACACCAGAGCCATTGACACGTTTTTGTTGTGGCTACCCGTGGTCTGCTCCACAAGGAAGCAACGCAGGACACCCGAAACACTGATCACAAACACATCCTAATTATGCCATACAAGAAAATGCAAGACATGAGAGGTCTGGGGGTAAATGTAGAGATACCTGAGAATTAGGTGTCACCTCATGATGACAGGATTCCAGACACTCTCTGAGTAGGGCACCACTGCTCCTGCATGACCCTCTCATGGAGCAGTGAGCCCTGCCCACCCACTGCCAGAAAGCAAAGGAGAAACCCCTTTAATGAAATGAAGGCCCAGAAGTTTGCTGGGTGCTCTTTTTCACATGGGCTGTGCTGTCACAAAACACAAGAGCCCTCAGTGGTGTCACAATGTTTATTAGTCTGTACAGTCCTCGGCAGATGCAGTTTAGATGATTCCAATCTAGAAAGAAGCAAAGGATGTTAAAACAGATGTTATGGTGGCAGAAAGGCAGAGCCTCCACCACAGACATCACTGCCATGGCTGCATCTCCCCAGGACTCCTGTCCCCCAAGGCTTCTTCCTCCCAGACCTGCCCAAGAGCTTTACACATCCACTTTGTAGATTTATTCCACAGTGATCCCTGTGCTGTATATTCCCCTACTCCACTTTGTACCACCTCTGCCTCCTGCCTACCCCAACCACCTTGAGGACTGAACTGACTGAGAACGTGGCTCCTCAACACTCAGATCCTGCCTGCCTACAAGGCCACGAAAGCGCCACCACACTCGAAGCACAAGTACCTCATTGGGAAACTCAGGAAGAACAATCAGTGGAGGAGACCCGAAACAAGCTGCAAGAAAAGCTTCCAAGTTTCAAAGCCATCTCACCTTGTTGGCCACATCCAGTGCATCATAATCTGGAGCCAGTCGTACATAAGCCTTCTTCTCTCCATCAGGCCTAGAGAGGAGCAGGAGGCATCAGAACAGAGGCAACTCCTCCCCCCTGCTCCACATCCCCGCAACTCCCATGTGCATCAGTGGTTCCTTTGGTAGCATCACATTACTCAGTGGACTTTAAGTTTACATCACTTGCACAGGATTCCCTGGGTGTCAAAAATGCTCCTTGCTAAGAGGCAAAGAGCCTCCTGAAGAAGCCAAGTGCACCCTGAGGAAACCAAGCTTCTGGTCTGCCAACATTTCCCACTTCCACCAAGATGTGCTCAGTCAAAAGCTGCACTTAGCTATGGAGCTTTATCACACATCTGTTGAATCTCACACATATTCCCACTTTCTGCTAAAAATGAAACACCTCACACACACCAGGGACTTATTCTCCTTCCGCTTCTCACCTAATCAACGTGTTGACCTTGGCCACATCGATATCGTACAGCTTCTTGACGGCCTGTTTGATCTGGTGCTTGTTTGCCTTGACATCCACGATGAACACTAGAGTGTTGTTATCCTCAATCTTCTTCATCGCCGATTCTGTGGTCAGAGGAAACTTGATAATGGCATAATGGTCCAGCCTGAAAGAGAGGTCCTATGATTAAAAGAGGGCTGACAGGTGGTCCCCTGAGCTTCAGGGGCTTTCTTTGGGGTGCATCAGTCACCTAAGGTTACAATCACAAACTCTCAGGCTTTGGTCGCTTAAAATCATCACCTGCATCCCAAACCACCAGGTCCCCACACCAGCCCATTCACGAGGCTGCTCCCAACCCCCCAAACCCCCCAGCAGGGGAAACAAACGCACTTGTTTCTCCGTGGGGCGCTCTTCCGGGGGTATTTGGGCTGCCTCCGCAGCCGCAGCGTCTTGGGCCTGCGAAAAGTGGGCGACGTGCGGATCTTCTTCTTCTTGTGGCTGTGGACCCCCTTCAGGACGGCCTTCTTGGCCTTCAACGCCTTTGCTTTTGCCTCTGTCTTCGGAGGCACAGCTGTGAGGAGAGCTCAGTCAGCACTACAAAGATCTCCACAAGGATCTGGAAGGTCAGGATGTGCTCCCCAGCCGGGCACGGCTTCCCCTGGTCAATGAGCAGGACCTCACCCAGCGGCCCACGCTCCTTCATCCAACCAAGAGGAACCCCAAAACGCCCAACCGAAGTAAAAGTCTCCCGCCTCCATGCGGGAAAACGCACTTATTCCCTCGCCACGCACGATTCCCAGCATCGAGATGGGAACATCCCCCACCCTCCTCAGACAACCCGGCCGGCCCGTCCCGCCACCTCCACGTGCCCGCGCCCAACAAAGCGCTGGAACCCTGCGTAACTCCCCGCTTCGCTCAGTCCGCCCCCCACCCCACATACACCAGTACCCCGCGGGGTCCCACACGCCGTCCCACGCCCCCAATACAGACCCAGCACCCCGAGCCCTCACCCTCCTTCTTCGCCTTGGGCGCCATCTTGGCCAGGCAGAAGCCGAAAGGGGTCTCCCAGGCCTCGGCGCACGGGCTTATTACCCCCAAATCTCGCGGGAGCAAAACAGAATCCCCGTTAGCCCGCCCCCTCAACTCTCGAGACATCTTCGAAGCATGCCGGTAGTGGTAGTACTCATTATCGGACTCGTCTGCGCACGCGCAGCGGTGTCCCGCGCGCCGTAAAGCGTCATGGGAGTTGTAGTCTGGCACTCTGCTGTCCCTTCCCGCCGTCGTGGCGGTCCGGGACAGGGGTGAGCCCCAGGGTGGCGGGGGATTACCGGGGTCCCGTCGAGGTGGTGGCAGCACAATAGCCCAGTCCCGGAGTAACAGGCCTCCTGGCCCCTCCCACACCCCCGAAGAAGAGCGTGGGAGGGGCCAGGACGCCGGTTACT